TATATATATATATACAGAAGGATATGACATCATGGTATACAAGGATATCAGATCATAGGACATAACACATAACACCACGCCAAATTATACAGATATGACATCACGAAACAAAAGGACATGACATCACAGCACATAAGAATATGACAACCCAATGAGATAATGATATGTCATCATGATGCACAAAGACATGCCATCACGAAACGACATAAGGATACGACAACTCAGCCTATTATAAGGGTATGACGTCACGACATAAGGATATGATGATATTACGACACAATATAACGACAGAACATCACGACACACAAACACAAGACGGCACATAAAGATATTATGACATCATATCATCATGATACGTAACAAAAGGATATGACATCATGATTCACTAGGATATGACGTCACTACATGTACTATGTCGTGCGTAGTGCATGAAGCAGCGACATTGCACCAACAGAAAGGGACATGAAACAAGCCCCCCTCTCCCCCCCCCCCCCAAATAAAATTGATTTACAATTTTATAATGCTAGCCTTTAATCAAGGGTAAACATAATAAAACACCTTTTCCAATACTCTACGTTTCTGAGGGAGATGATGCCTGCCCTTAAAAATTTTTTGTTGTTGTGGTTGAATACCAGACAAATATCTAAATAACACAACTAAATCTTCCCTCGTAAACCTGCTGTTACAACATGTAGTTCGTCTGATTACAAGTTAACTTTTTTCTTACAAACCCCACGTATACCATGTATAGCATTTTAGTCTTGTCCGTGTTAAAAAAAAATAATTAAGTGAGTATCTTACAAACTACATGTAAACTATGTAAAGCGTTTTAGTCTTGTTCGTTTTTTTAAAAAGTGAGTATCTTACAAACTACATGTATACTATGTATAACTTTTGAGTCTTGTTCGTTTTTTTTTAAAGTGAGTATCTTACAAACTACATGTATACTATGTATAACTTTTGAGTCTTGTCCGTTTTTAAAAAAAGTTAGTGAGTATCTTATAAACTACATGTATACTATGTATACAATTTTAGTCTTGTCCAATAAAAAAAAAAGTTAGTGAGTATCTTACAAACTACATGTATACTATGTATTACATTTTAGTCTTGTTCGTTTTAAAAAAAAGTTAGTGAGTATCTTAATTATCAAAATCAACACTTAGGTATTAGTGCTGATTGATGTAACGCGACGGCTTTACAGCATAATACACTACTTGAATACCAACAAGATGACAGAATGCATTTATTCAACAGGATGACAGAAGACATCTATTCAACCAGCTTTTGCGGCAAGAAGCATAACATAAATATGAACATATTATAAGCTAAATGGCAGGCAAGATCTCCCCATTCCTTCACCTTACAAAACAAGCATTGACATTATCAACATTTTGTATGAAGTTATTGACAGTCTTGAACTTCATATGAACTCTCCATGATTATTTTTGCTATTGGCTGGCGATTCATTGACAGGAAAGCTAACAATTTATTTATGTAAGTTAGACATTTTTTCACCAAAATCTTTTCAGTGTACGAAACGTTTTGTATGCTGTACATTTTATCATTCAAAAGTATCAACTTCAATAGTTGAGCCCTTCCTCTGCTTAATTTTTCCCCTTTGGCCGCTGTTTTTGAAAACAATGTATATTGAACTTTCTGTGGTACTTCGTAGAGCTGCTCTGCAAAAAACGAAAGCATTTTCTACAAAAAGCGAGAATAAAGTCATTGCTAGAAACAAACAAAGTGGGCGTTGCGTGCTAAAAGGCCAAGTCTGGGATTCTTAAATCAATTTGGAGAGGGGGGGGGGGGGGGGGTTGATTTTAACACGGTATACATGTATTTAAAACACATGCACATTGATAGATTTTCCTGAAGAATAAGAAAAAAAAATATACAGCTACAAAACGTCCATTATTTATTTCCTACGAGGTAGGAGTTAAAATATGTTTATTTTTGTTAACTGTAAAGAGCGCATTTCTCTTACTAATTAATTGCCCAGAGGCTGTGTTAATATGTCAACAAGGAAGAACAAACGTTTAAGGATAGCTATGATGATAATCCCCCCCCCCAAAAAAAAAAATAAAATTTTAAAAATGATAAGGTTTTTACAAAATTCTTACTTCTCCTGTAAAATGAGCTTTCCCAGACAAGGCCACTTTTGCGCTACACATGATAGCTACGGAAAATTGGTCGCTTTTAAGCACAAGGGGGTTACCCCGAAAAATACTGTTTTGAGAAAATCGGTGTTAACGTTTTCTGACCCTTCTTGTTCAGTTTCTTTAAAAGACAAGGAGAGTTTTTCCCTACAACCAAACAAATACACACACCAATAAATCCAAACTTCTCCTATAGGTAGGGCAATGCCCACCTTTGGTGAAGGCCACAATTTCTGGACACCCCCGGAAATCTGGGTCAGCCCGCTTGTCCTTAAATTAAAAGAGACCAAATAAGAACGGAAGTTGCCGACACAAGATGAGTGCACACAGGACAGTACAGATCGAACTCACATCAGTGGAGGCCGTCCTCTTGAAGCCTGGCGGCACGGTGGCTGTGGTGTCGATCATCTCTCGCAGGTTGTCGTTGGTGTCCAGCAGGTTTTTGTTGGCTTCGCTGGAAATGAAAATAAACAACCCCAAACCTGGCTAAAACAATAATAATAATAATATTAATAATAGACAGCATTTGTATTGCGCAAATCCCCGCTCAACAGCAGGCTCTATGCGCGTCACAATCTATACTATTACCTCAGCAGACCTGAGAGAATTCTGAAACAACCTCAACTTCCTGCAGTGCAAGCAGCCATTTATAGGCACTAAAACACTAACATACCGACAAGATCTTTCACTGTCTGTGGCCGGGTACCCAATTCCACCTGAATGAAGTGAGGAAAATTTGTGTAAAGTGCCTTTCCCAAGGACACAACGTCGGGCCCGCGGCTCGAACCCCCGAACCCGCAACCTCACCATTACGAGTCCAGTAACCTAATTTCCCAAGGACACAACGTCGGGCCCGCGGCTCGATCCCCCGAACCCGCAGCCTCATGATTACGAGTCCAGTAACCTAACCACTAGGCCACTGACGCCACAACATACAAACGTGGCTGGCGGGTGCCTCTATACAGAAAGTATAATTTTAGTTTTAGTTTTAGTAAGAGTTTTTTTTACGGCATTTGCACCACAAACATTATCTTTTTTAAATCAAAGGCAAGACAAATGGGGAAGCTATAAGATTGTACCATTAATGCCATATGCCTAAAAATTGATTCGTGCCCGATTCCACAAATGGCTAAATCAAGTTTCTAGATAGGTGGCTGGTGCCTCTAGAAAGAATAAATAATATTATTTCAGTTTTAGTTTTAGTAAGAGTTTTACAGCACTTGTAACATAAATAGCAACAAATATACGCGCCGAAGATTAGAGTCGTTACTATAGAGAAACATAAAGAGGAAGGAAGGAAGGAAGGAAGGGAGAAGGAGAGATAAGGATGATAATATAATTATACAAATGGCCCAAATTGTATCTCGAAGGTGAACAAATTATAATATGTACGAAACAAAAGAATTCTATCAAAAATTATGCTCAGCCTCCAAACAGACATTTCACGTTTCAAAAATACTTTTATAAACTGTGCTGTGAAATTATCGACTCCCCTTTCCCCACACAATAATAATTTTTTCCTTCTGTGTTGAATGCTTTGTTCGTTTCCTTTTCACTCCCACTTTTCTGTAGAAAGCAAAAGTTTTACTTTATTTCCCATATCCCAGTTTTAACTGAGGGTGCTCTGATGTGGTGAGCTCCTTCTTTCCTATATAAACATCGTTCTGTCATCCTTATCCCTTCTCCTTCATTCCTTTGTATGCTACTCTCTAATAACATTGCTAATCTTCGGCACTAATATGACCTAATTGGATAGCAGGTGCCGTAAAACTCGTACTAAAATAATTTTGAAAACCCCCAACTAAACCAGTTATGGTTGAACTTTTATATGTTAACGTTATTCTAGA